AAAGGGCATGGAAGCAACGTTCCAACGTTGCCCCTCAGTGTCCTTCAGCTAATCTGGGGTGAGAATCACATGCCATGTGCAGTCTGCAGAGCCTTCCATAGCCTCACAAATTTTCTCAAAATAAAAAGCAAAATTACATCTCCAGGTGTAATTTTACACTCTGTTCTATTGGCGTTACCTGCTTTTATGAGCAGAAAGAACATTATTGGATTATGGCCACATACATTGCTTGAAGTAAGTGTGAGTGGATCAATCAAGCAGGCATTTGAAACAGTAGTATTTCTTTGGGCTGAACCACTGCACTGATAGAATACCATATAGAGAAGTTATCCTTATTTTTGTTTTCTGTAAAGTCCTCCCTCCCCCCATACACACTTCTAGTTTTTCACTTCTGTTCTGAGTTGTATTTTTCACCAGAATGATTAGTAAGTGGTATTCATCACCAACATAATATTGTTTGCCCATGCTTCTCACGTGTACTTTCATAAGCTTAGAATGGCACGCTCACTAGGACACCAACTCAGGGGTCTCTAGAAAGGTTTAGCTTTACACACACTTTTCACATGTATAAAGGTAAAGGTATTCCCCATTGACAAAGATGTCAAATTGTGTCCAACTATAGGGGACGGTGCTCATCTCTGTTACTAAACCGAGGGAGCCAGCGTTGTCAGAGACTACTCTGTGATCCTGTGGCCAGCATGATTGCACAGAACACTGTTTACCCTCCCACCAAAGTGGTATCTATTTATCTACTTGCATTTGTATGCTTTTGTACTGCTAAATTGGCAGAAGCTGGGACTAGTGACAGGCGCTCACCCCATCATTCAGCACCTGGGCCTCAAACTGCCAACCTGCCAATTTTACAATCAACAGAGTTAGCGTCTTAACCACTTGAGCCACTGCATCCCTTTACATATCACATGTATAGATTATGTTTGTATGTTTTAATACTTCTATATTTTGGAATTCACCCAGATGCTTTACATACATTTTTAACTCTTCCTAGAAACACACATTGGTCATAATGTACTGATACACACCAACTAAGTCTGAAATGTGCAAGTACTGTTGGACTTCAATGAGATTGATTCACAAGACTGATCCTAGAAGGTGGTGATCTTCATTAGCAGCATAGTGCATTTGTATCATCCATTGACTGTGCTCTGTTCTCAATAATTTCATAACACAGAAATGGGTGCTGGGCTCCTAGTCAGGAATAATACATTTCCTCAGCTTGTTCTGATAATTTCAGAGTAGTCCTAGAACTTCAGACCTGGCAGATGTTTGTGTTGCAGAAATATTCCAAATTCAATTAAAATTTGTATACAGTCCATTTAATCTAAACTATAATAAGGTAACTGAGGGCCTTTGCAGACTGCCAAAAATAGTGCAAATTGAGTCCACTTTAACTGCCCTGACTCAGTGCTAGGGAATCATGGGAACTGTAGTTTATTGTGGCACCAGAGCTCTCTTGACAGAGAAGGCTCAATTTCTCAGAAAAAGATACAGTTCCCATGATTCCCTAGAACTGAGTCAGGACAGTTAAAGGGGCTCAATTTGCACTATTTCTAGCAGTCTGCAAAAGCCCTTAGTATCTAGACATGATTGGTAAAAGTGAGAGACACAAAACAGTGAGGAGGAGGACAAAGGAAAGGTTGAGAGAATTAGGGATACAGAAAGAAAGAAAAAATAAGAGGTATTAAAGACGATGAGCTGATAAATAAAAGGATAACACATGTTAATATTTTTATGTATAAAATCTTCTCTCTTCACTTAGCTGTTCTGACAAAGGAATAGGATCGGTAGATTCTATATAGATAAGTTAAATAAGCACTTAATAGATACTGAATTGTATGTAATGTATATGGAATATGATCTATGATCTATGATTGTAATTTGAAGTATGTATAGACTTAAGTTTGGGAGGAAAATGAATGTGGAATGTAAGTGTGAATTTTAACTAATAAAATTATTTTTAAAAATTAAATTAAAAAAACAGTGTCAGCCAGCATTTAAAAAGCGCATTTAAATTCAAATGCACATTTTTTTTTTAAACTTATTGAATGTCTCATAATGCAATTTACCAAACATTCCATTGAAGGGTGTTTGAAAGTCAAAGTGCTGCTGCTAAGAATGTCACCCCTTTTTTGGGGGGGAGGGTGTTAAATGATGTTTATAGGAAAGGGTCTGTTTTTGTCTTGTGGTTTTAATTCATAGGTAGTATCACTTTGAAGTGGATTTGTTAGCAAACTATCAGTCAGATTTTATATGGAAAAACCAGCCAGAAGTCTAGCAGCAGAATTCTGTGCTAGTTGTAGTTTCTTGACCATTTTCAAAGGCAACCTCATGTATAACACATTAAAATAGTCTGCCAATTTAATTACTACCCCACATTTCCAACAAACTGGGACTCAAGATGGCTTACAAGATAGAAAAGCTCATACTGTGGTTCATATGTACCGAGGGCATGGTTTATTGCAGCCACACCTCCTCTATCCAGGAAAAGCCGCAATGGACAAACCAAGGGAAACTGGTGACAAGTACTCCAAGCCCCCAAGGCCTCAAAAAACAATGTTGGGCTAAATAGCAGCACCAAAGGGCTCACCTCTTTCAGGGGGAAGTGCATTCAGAAATAGTATCAATAGACCCCATCTGAATCAGATGACAAAGAGAAATAGAGCTGATTATCAACTTGCTCCAGATCCCCACACAACTTCACCCCTCGGCCTAATCTGGGAGTGGGGAGATAAAATGGAACTTTGAAAGTTCCCCAGCCTAACTGTAGAGAAAAGAAGTAATAGCCCCAGTTAAACCTTCTTAAATTGACCCTCGTGTGAATATTGAAGAGAACTACCTGGGGATTTTCCAATGCTGTACCTGAAACTATATCTGGCAGCTTGGTATGGAGCTTGTTGATAGAATCAGCAGAGTCCCTGATTTAACTCTTTGGCTCAGGCTTGAAGAATCCTAGAATCATAGAATTGGAAGAGACCTCAATGGCCATCCAGTCCAACCCCCTGCCATGCAGGAAGACACAATCAAAGCACCCCCAACAGATGGCCATCCAGCCTCCATTTAAAGACCTAAAAGAAGGAGACTCCGCCACACTCCAAGGGAGTGTGTTCCACTGTCAAACAGCTCTTACCATCAGGAAGTTCCTCCTAATGTTTAGGTGGAATCTCTTTTCCTGCATCCATTGTTCTGGGTCCTCTTCTCTGGAGCAACAGCAAACAAGCTTGCTCCATCCTCAATATGACATCCCTACAAATACTTTTACAGGGCTATCATAACCTTCTCTTCTTCAGGCTAAAAATACCCAGCTCCCCAAGTCTCTCACAAAGCTTGGTTTCTAGACTCTTCACCATTCTAGTCACCCTCATCTGGACATGCTCCAGCTTGTCAAGTTCCTTTTTGAATTGTGGAGCCCAGAACTGGAGCTCATATTATTCTGGGTGAGGCCTGACTAAGGCAGAATGGAGTGGCACTATTACTTCCCTTGATCAGGACACTATACTTCTATTGATGCAGCATAGAATCACATTGGCCTTTTTAGCTGCTGCATCACATTGTTGACCCATGTTCAACTTGTGGTCTACTAGAACTAGATTCCTTTTACATGTAGTCTTGTTAAGCTCAGGTGTTCCCCCCCCCCATCCTATATCTGTGCATTTCATTTTTTTCTGCCTGAGTGCAGTACCTTTCATTTCTCTATGTTGAAGTTCATTTTGTTAGTTTTGGCCAAGCTTTCTAGTCTCTTATGGTCATTTTGAATTTTGATCATGTCCTCTTGGGGTTTAGCTGCTCCTCCTAATTTGGTGTCATCTGCAAATTTGATAAGCATACTCCATATTCTTTCATCCAAGTTTTTGATAAAGATGTTTAATAATACTGGGCTGAGGACAGAATTTTGTGGCACCCCACTGGTCACTTCTCTCCAAGATGAAGAAGAGACATTGTTGAGCATCCTTTGGGGCCAACCAATTACAAATCCACCTAACAGTTGCATTGTCTAGCCCACATTTTACTAGCTGCTTTACAAGAATATCATGGGGGTACGGGTACAAACGTGCCTCCTTACATGAAAGATAGAATCCTTATAGCTACAGGTGTCCCTCTTTCCCAATGCTTCTAGAGCAAGAGTGGGCAACGGACAGCCATAATATACATATGGCCATGAGTCCTTTCTTCTAGCCCTCCCCCCTTGACATGCCTTCTCATTATGTGGCCAAAGTATGGCAGCCTCCGTTTTGTCATCTTTGCTTCTAGGGAGAGTTCTGGTTTGATCTGTTCAAGGACCCATCTGTTTGGCTATCCATGGTATCCTGAGCACTCTTCTCCAGTACCAGATCTCATAGAATCATAGAA